TCAGTGAAGGATCAAACAAATATTACAAAATTATAACTTTGATCCCCCAGTGGTAAGCAATAATTATAGATATTAGATTTCAAAAGCCCTGAGTGTTTATTTCAGTTTATTGATTATAGTTTAATCCCTAATAATGCAGGTAGATGACGATTAAGTCAAATTTTAATGGGAGAAACAATTCTTTTATATGGCTATTTTCCCAAAATAAATGTGAAGAATTGATCATCTATTAACATGTATCCCCATACATTTATTTTATAACAAAATTCCAAAAATTTTGGAAATCCTAGTTTCCAGTTCAAAGAATCATTTGTAACTGATGTACAGAGTAGTGGTAGGAAATAAGTACCTTTAATGTAAATTTTTTCTAAAGTAAATAATGATTAAATAAAAAAATTAAATTTAATGTTACAGAAAATAAGACATCAAATTCGTGAGAAGAATGGTTAATGAAGGTTCTGTTCAGGTCTGTGTGTGACCTGGAGAAAATGATTTCATGTCTCGAGACCCAGCTTTCCTAATGTCTAGGATTTGTAGAACTCTAAGATACCATAGAATTTTACTAACATTACTTTCTATGAAATTGAGCTCCTCAAGTCAGAGTGAGTTGGTCCTCTTTTTAACTCAGCACTTAATATTGTGGAACTGAAAACAGTTGTCTGTGAATGTTGTAGTAAAAAGTAAATAAGATAAATGCTGATTTCTGTGTGTGTGCATATATGTGGCATAATTTGGTGGAGGAGATAATGTTACAGTAGGAAAAGGGGGAGTGAGAACTGTGAAAAATTAAAGATAGAAGGGAATAAATGTATGAGTAAAATCATGAGACTTTGTTTTGAAAAATCACCTTAAAGGTATCTGTAAGCAAATGAATGACGGGAAATCTCTTCGTATTAGTCACCATGAAAGCGTTCCTCTTCTGCTGCCACCTTGCAGAAACATTTTTAGTGCTCTTCCTTTAGAATTACTTTTAGAGCTGGTTATGCAGGGTCTTGTTTCGTTATTCTTGTTACTTTCCACACATGGTTCTGAGTGATTTTTGACTTGATTCTAAACATTCCTTCCAGGATTTTCAAGAGGGTGTGCTTCAGGCTTTGGAAATAGAACATTGTGGAACTAGGACTCCAATTCATGCCTTTATCAAATCTGTAAATTCAGATGTATATCATATTCCTTGGTCAATAACGGAGACAGGGGATAAGAGCAGAAAAATTAAAAGGAAAAAATACTTTTTAAAAAGTTACTTTTCTCCTTCCCCATACTAAAATTTCTCTTTTTGCCTAGTTTTTAAAATTCTCTAAGTATCTCATGTAACATTAGGTCAAAATTGCTATGTGAAATGCATTTTATACTTCTAAAATAACAGCGTACTTTTAGATTTGTAAAGAGGCAAACAGTTTTGTATATTTCAAATTTTCTTGAGATGAGATAGGTTCTGTAGATTTGTTCTTAAGTTGAATTTATATGTAGGTCGGAATAGATACATTTACCTATTAGCTGTAATAACCCCTGTTTGTGTGAGTTGTATGTCGGTCAGATGTTTGTAACTCAGGGACCGCCTATACTTTGATTTTTGTCTGTGATTCCACTGGCGCCAAAACCAGACTACTGAAACTCCATCAGATGTTTGTAAGACTAGAGTTTAGTCACTTAACAGCTTCCTCTTTCTGCATCCTTAACGTTCCAGAAGCAGTAGTTAAATAGGTGAATGTATGTAGTCCTTTCTAGCGTAGTATTTTGTGGCTTCAATAAAATCATAGGTGCTAGAGCCAGTTTCAACAACGACCTGCTAAAGGAATAAATCCTTCTTGACAGGGGCAACATTTCCAGGACCTGAATCTTGGGAAGAAAAATCTAGTAAATAAAAAAAGATTTATGTAATTCTTTTCTATGAGAAGAATAGTTGTACAGTAGGGGCATGTGGTCAGAATTTTAATAAAGATTGAACCAGGCAAAACTGAGAGTTTTTTTTTTTTTCTAAGCCATAGATGTAGAAAATATCCAAGTTTTTTGAGCAACATTAATGTACAAGCAGTCTGCTTTGGATAAACAAAAATGAATTATTTTTCTAACAGCATAAATTTGCATGTTTCTAACTTTTAAAAATATATAAACAGTGACATAATGAACTTTCTTGTTAGCTGACTAAATTTTCCATTTATAAGAAAATACTCAGCAAAAGTTCTTCTAGCTGATTATAATTAGTCTGAAACCTGATTATAAACTTATAATCATCTGTGAATCTTATTAAAAGGATTCTGAGGCTTGGCGCCTGTGGCTCAAGTGGCTAAGGCGCCAGCCACATACACCTAAGGTGGCGGGTTCGAATCCAGCCCAGGCCCGCCAAGCAACAATGATGGCTGCAACCAAAAAATAGCC